AATTAGTCAACACTCCCCGTGGAAAAAAGCTCTAGCTTTAAAATGAAAAATTGACTGAAAATTGACTGAAAGGCTGCCGACTTGGAGTTCAAAACGTACGAGTCGATCGGCAAAATTTGCGTTCGGAGATAAAATAGAAAATACATTTTTGGCGGCATCCTACCTGGAATGAGATTATAACACCTAAATGTTTATTCTGATTGATATCAGAGAGGGATCAATTTTCTCTAACAATAGGACTTTGACAGGTAACATGTAACAGGAACAAACTTTCGCGGCAAGCAAGGGAACAGTTTAATTCTCCGTTGGAAAACTTCCACTCTTTTACACCACGAGAAGCACGGTTTAATTCTTTCTCGAGCAAAAGTTTTGCCTCTCCTTCGATCTTTTTCGTATGATCCCCCCAGGCGTTTTTGTCGATCGGCGCCAGGCCAAAAAACTTTGAAGCCGCCGAATGTCCACCACCGATTGCTCGAAGGCCAAGAAGTGAGGCCCGGTTTATTTCAAACGCTCTGCTCTTCTCGGAAGAACTAAAAACAGAATTTGTCTTGTGCGACGGACGGCTTTCATTCTCGCACTGGATTCTCCAGGTAGAACCAAGTCCATGCTTAGTCGCTACATTTTCCATGACTTGGACTCTTCCCTAGCAAAATCGACAAGCTACAGACTCGTCCAGTTTCTCAAGCAGCTTTTCGCTCGATACGATAGCTCGACCGCTTATTGTTTTCCACGTTCCATCAGCAGATGGGGTCGATGAGCTTAATTGGCTTTCTTCATCTGGCTCTTCAAGCTGGATTTTGGAGCGGCTTGCACTCTCAGCAACTGCAACATTTTCGCTTTTCTGAATATCCAACTCCTCGAGCCACTTCTCTTGCTGATAAAATGAGCCTTTGTCGCTCTCTGCCAATTTTGCGGCCCATTCTTTGTCAAACTCACTCTTCGATTTCCTTTTCGCTCTCGGTTTCGATGACGAAATTTTCTCTTGTTTTGGCGGCAAACTCTAAATATCCACGGAGAATACTAAAGGCTATAAGGGACGGACCATTAGAAAACTTATGGGGGGGCGAAGTAAAAAAAAAAAATTCGCGCAAAGAAAAATTAAATGAAAAAAAATTCTTGCACGCCAATAAACCCTAAGAAATATTCATGCAAGGGCCTGAAAAAAAAATTCATACAAGGACTTTGATAACGAAAAAAAATTCCTGCAGCTCGAAAATTCCCCTCCTCCCCCATAACTTTTCTAATGGTCCGTCCCTAAACAACGCGAAGACAATTCGTACGTGTTGTGTCGAAGCACGCACTCGGTATCACGTTACTAGTTCACGGGCAAGTTAATTGATATATGACACGGGTATGACAGATCTTGTCAACGATCAATTAAGATAATTAACGAGAAAAAATCTTTTACCCCCGATATCTTTCGACAGAAATAATATTTTCTTCTAATTTTTTTTTAAAAGAAAGCTCTCAAGCATATCTATTTGAAAACGTTGAAACCTCAAATACGAAAAAATGGCAATTTTAAGGGTGGCTGATACCTTAAGAAAGCCTGTTTGATCATCTGAAATTAGCTTTGGAAGAAAAGTTTTGATACGACTTGCAATGGCTTTTGATGCAATCTTGTAATCACAATTTAACAGCGTTAATGGTCGCCAATTCTTAATGAGAATGAGCTCGGCATCTTTCTTTGGAATAAGCTTGACAATGCCACGTCTTTGTGATATTGAAATTTGTCCTGTCTCAAAAGAAAAATTTAGGGCATTTAGTAGTATTTAGGCTAAATCATTCCAGAAAACCTTGTAGAATTCTCAGGGGAGACCATCTGATCCTGGAGTTTTTTCAGAGGCCATGCTTTTTAATACTTCTTAACATTCCTTTTTGCTTAGAGGTCCTTCGCAAAGGGATTGCTCTTCTTGGCTCAATCGTTTCTGTTCTTCTAGGGGCGGGAAGAAGGCATCTGCATTCTTATTGGTATCTTCTTTAGAGGTATAAAGATTTTTCTAAAAATTTTTACATTCAAGTAAGATCTCTTTGTCTGTAGAAATAAAGTCATCTTCGCTAACTTTAAGCTAAGTTATTGTTGCTTGTTTACAGTGTCTCTTTTCAAGGTTGAGGAAATACTTAGTGTTTTTCTCGCCTTCATTGTACCACCGAGACTTCGATCGTAAAATCGCTCCTTTTGTCTGGTATTCAATTATCGTCCCTAGCTCACGTTTTTTCCTTCAATATCGCACAATATTTGTTTCTTTTGTTTGTCATTGACATCAGAGTGGGTAAGCTGTTCTTCTAAGGTTGTTATTGATATCTCAATTTGCTCCTGCTGTTTTCTTAGATTTCTCGTCTTAGTTGTTCCATATTTAATAAATACGTCTCTCACTTTCATTTTAACCATCTCCCATAAAAGGCCTGGGTCAACAGCGTTATCTTGAGAATATTAATCGATAGTTTGTGCTATGGTTGACTTAATCTGGTTGACATTTTCTGTTTCAGATAAGAAGAAGGTATTTAGTTTCCAAAAACCTCGGCCTCTAGTGTTAGAGTGTAAAGAAATTTGTAAGGTGATCATAGAATGATCTGTTTTGTAGCCTAATATCTCTGCATTAATAATATTACAGAAAGTGCATTGATTAATTAGAAAGAAATCAAGTCTACAGTGGATTTCAGGCTTCTTCCGTCTCCATGTAAATTTGGAAGAGTCAGAATTTAAGAGCGAATGCACAGAAAAATCGAGCAAACCGTGGCCACAGCTCAAAACCTAACCTACCCTCATTTTAAGTCTGTAATAAGGTTTTAATGAATTTTTAACACTGCTGAGGTTTAAATTTCAAAATGCGACCGAATTTGGGAATTATTTGAGATTTTCGATTTCAACGGCCTGCGGGCCTAAAATTAGCCGCCGAACACGGCAATATAGCCTAGCGACAGAAATGAGCTGACTTTCATAAACGAGCGAATATATTGGCAATCTTCCACTTAAATCTCAAAAAACAGATATCTAACAATTTCTAAACAGCACATTTTTTAGATTTAGAGAATAAAATATCGACGAACGAGCACAATTTTGAAACGTAATTTGCATAATGCTTATAAATACAACAATTTACCGCTAAAAACAAAATCGAATTTTCTATATGGGGGAATTCTCCAAATCACCCCAAATCCCGCTTACTACCTAATGAGATATAGTAGTTCAACATTATCTGAAAGTTAGTCTGGTGTTCTTGCGAACGCTTGTAAAATAGATTGATTATTTTGAGGTTATTTTGCCCCAAACAACCGCTAATTGACCCAAGGGTCAGTTGACACGTGCACGTCACCTTAGTTTTATGCATCGATTTGAGCTCGTTAAAAAGGAGAAACTAACAAGATTCTTTTAATATGTACCTTTTTTAATGAAATACACGTAATGTTCAAAAGGAGAGGCCGTTCAATGGGTAATTTCTGTTCTTGAGATCCTGAAGATTGTACCATGGCGTCTGCGAGTGGACCTGAGTCTAGGTTTGTTTTCCCGTGACTGCGAAATCAGAACAACATCATGAAAAAATTCTCGCTCGAACCTTCGTAAATGAATCAGCTTTGCAGTGCCTTACCTGAGATAAAAAGTGGGCCGAATAGGAAAACACTGTAGCGCAATTTGGATCCTTTGTTTGCTAAGCGGCGATGGTATCAATGACTTTTAATTAGTTACTCACCTCTGATTGCGTGACCAGGCAATTATCGATTGTCTCCTGCGAAAAATAAGTGCACGGGAAACCAAAGCTTTCCGAGATACAGTAAATTCATTTTCCTGTATGACCAGGTGTCCGTTTGTCCTATTTTAAAAGCGGTTAACTAAGATGATTAGCAAACATACTGTCCCACTTTTAAAAATGGTACAGTAACTGAGGCATGAATGTTCTGTTCTTCTGATTTTACCCCCAACCCCGGAGTGTTCAGAAGATATATTTGCACTACGCATGAAAGGCAAATGGATTAAATTTTAAGGTTCAAGGCGGTTTTAAGGCATGGGTTACCACTGGATTAGTCAGACTTGTCATAAGGTGCATTGAACAGAAAATTACAGGCATGATATCTCTGCTATTGTATGTTCATTAAGCGATTTTCCAGCAAACATTATTTTTTGGCTTTTTTACCCCAAAAGTTTTGTCCGTTCAATTCTTATCTATGAGATCTAAACTTAGTTAAATTTCTGTAATTCGTTGTTAAATGCAATTCTGCTAACAACTAAGTATTTAATTTTGCGTAAAAGCTACAGGAAATTGTCCTGTCTAGCCGTAAATAATTAAAAAGAGAAAGCATCATGCTTTCTCTTTTCAAGTCTAGTAGGACCTAAGCAATGGCATTGCTTAAGTCCTAGTAGTTGTTCTCCATGTCTGCTAAGGAGGAAACAGTTTACTCTTTTCAAGAAATTTTTCTTGCCCTTTGCGGTTTCAAACCAAGGATAGCAGCAAGTCTGTCGTGGTCATATACCGCTACTTCAGTGCAAACGAAGCATAGGCGCACAAGTCAGCGCTTGCGTTTAGTCAGGTGCCGAAAATGAAGTGGAAACTTAACCCCAAGGGCGTCCATGTTCGCTCCGGCTCGAAAAGGTAGAATCAGTTGTGCAGTAAAAAGTAATGCGAAAAACCTGCGGGGGCTGGGGAAAGAAAGGCGACAAACCAGGTGTAAATTTATAGTAACAAACTGTTAAATATACATCAGCAAGATTTTTGCGAATCCTATTTTTCGCTGGAGACTATCGTTTACTGGCTGGTCACGCAATGAAAGGTAACGTACTTTCCCACGTTTGTTTACTCACCTTTCGCTCAGCAATACACTGCGTTCCACAAAGGATCCAAATTGCGCGAGAAATGTTTTGCTATTCGGCCCACTTTTTTATCTCAGGTAAGGCACTGCAAAGCTGATTCACTTACGAAGATTCGAGGGAGAATTATTTCTTGATGTTATTCTGATTTCGCAGTCACGGGAAAACAGACCTAGACTCAGGTCTACTCGCAGACGCCATGCTGCAATCTACAAGATCTCAAGAACAGAAATTACCCATTGAACGGCCTCTCCTTTTGAAGATTATGTGTATTTCATTAAAACAGGTACATATTAAAAGAATCTTGTTAGTTTCTCCCTTTTAACGAGCTCAAATCGATGCATAAAACTAAGGTGACATGCACGTGTCAATTGACCCTGGGGTCAATTAGCAGTTGTTTGGGGCGAAATAACCTCAAAATAATCAATCTATTTTACAAGCGTTCGCAAGAACACCAGACTAACTTTCAGATAATGTTGAAGTACTATATCTCATTGGGTAGTAAGCGGGATTTGGGGTGATTTAGAGAATTCCCCCATATAGAAAATTTGAGTTTGGTTTTAGCGGTAAATTGTTGTATTTATAATTATTATGCAAATTACGTTTCAAAATTGTGCTCGTTCGTCGATATTTTATTCTCTAAATCTAAAAAATGTGCTGTTTAGAAATTGTTAGATATCTGTTTTTTGAGATTTAAGTGGAAGATTGCCAATATATTCGCTCGTTTATGAAAGTCAGCTCATTTCTGTCGCTAGGCTATATTGCCGTGTTCGGCGGCTAATTTTAGGCCCACAGACCGTTGAAATCGAAAATCTCAAATAATTCCCAAATTCGGCCGCATTTTGAAATTTAAACCTCAGCAGTGTTATAAATTCATTAAAACCTTATTACAGACTTAAAATGAGGGTAGGTTAGGTTTTGCGCTGTGGCCACGATTTGCCGATTTTGCTCGATTTTTCTGTGCATTCGCTCTTAAAACTCTCCAGGCGTCGATCAGATCTAAGCTTTCAGAGGCGCTATTGACCCGCGGGGGTACTCCTATACATTACCTATACGGGTATGTGCCGCCCAACGGGGTCGTGATTTTAAAGCTCCTGGTTTAGAAAGGGGTATCCATTTCAGAGGCGTTTTCTAGAACGGGGTATAATATTTCGAACGCATGAAAGCTCCAGTTTTGTAAGCAGCCATTTGAAATTATTCAAGGACAGATTGCTTTTAAAAAGACGGCTCAATGCGTTACTGAAGCAAACTGCTATACTCTTGTTGCACCCTAGAACAGAGTATAAAAAATTGGCCCATTTTTAGAACGGGGTATCAGTTTTAGGGCGAATTCTAGAACGTGGTATAAAAAATTGGCCCGTTTCTAGAATGGGGTATCAAGTTTAGGGGAATTTCTTTTTAGAACGGGGTGCCAATCTGGAGTCCCGGGCGACACATACCCACCCAAAAAATACCCAAGTGCCCCCCCCCCCTCCCCACCCAGGGCTATTGATAACTTCCAATGATCTTTTATGAGTTCTTGAAAGGCCACCCTTTTTATCTTTTTCGACATCTAAAACTAAATTAAAATCGCCACCTATTATGATCTCGTCGCACTTGAAATCAGCCAAATGACTAAAAACCGAGGTGAAAAAATTTGAATCATCGTTGTTTGGAGCGTAAATATTTGTCAGCGTTAATTGTTTCCCATTTACAGTCACATCACATATTATAAACCGTCCCTCGGGATCGGAATATGTTTTAGAAATTTGAAAGGTGAAGTTATTATTAAAAAGTATGGCAACACCTGCCTTTTTACTGGTGCAGCAGCTGAACAAAGCTTGATAGTCCCATTCGGCCCGCCAATCATTCTTATTGTTTTCTGTACAGTGCATTTCTTGAATAAAATATACTGAATATTTTTTTGCTCTAAGCCAGTTTAAAAGATTTCTCGCCGCTTGACCTGGTCTCCCAAACCTCCAACATTAATTGATCCTATTTTAAGATCCATTTTTAGACGTTTGTGTCAGATAGCATCGACTGTCTTTACCCAAGGAGTATTCTCGCAATAAAAAACAAATATGAGAAATAAAAAAAGGTAAACAAGAGTTTAAATAAAATAACAGTAAGGTTACGTAAAAACACAGCAAACGAAATATTTTCAGGCAAAATGTAAACAGAGACACGCACATTTAAATCAATAAAAGGTTGCACTTAGCGTCGCTTTGAAACAGAGGCTTCAGGCAACTCGGAGATGGTCTATTGCCTTGTAAAAAATCAGTTTCTCCACTACCGGGGCGAAATTGCCATTCCAGAGCGCTTCGATATTTCCATAGACAACGATAGAACATCAAGATTGTTCAGTTTCCACTGTATTTCTAACCAGAAACATTTTTATCTCAAAAACCCTCGAGAGTGCTCTCGTAGATCTTTCTAATAATACATTTTGGTACAGAATACCAAGTGCATCAGGTGCGGATCCACACCGGTTTCCACCGTTTTACGGAAATCGGTCACATTTTTCATATTAAATATATTTTTAAAAATAAAAACACTTTCCAAGTTGACATCTGGCCAATATCCCATCTGAATAACTCGGTAACTCAGGAAAGGGGATTTTAAGGAGTAAAAATCCAAATAATTTCTTGGGGGAGCCAGCCCCCGGATCCCCGCTAAAAGCTTGTGTCTTCGGCGCTCGTTTAGGAAACATTGGGCACACCTGACAAAGATCAGGCGGCCGGAGATATGTTGTACACTCAAAAATGGTATCTGACTGCAAATTATAAACCCAAACTTTCCGGGTAGCAAACAAAGGGTTCCAAAAGGAACCTTTGGAATCAGAGTGTACAGCCAGTGTCGTGCTCAAATATCTGAGGCAACGACTGAAACGCATAAATCAAAGACTGACCCAATAAATACTGGCCGCCAAACTGCGACTCATGGTGTACAATCAGTGTCGATCTCAAAATCAAGAGGCAACGACAAAGAAAATAATCAAAGGCTGACACAATCATAAACACAATTGTTTGAGTCAATATCAAAGGAACTGGCCCGAGGATAAAAAAAAGCGTAAAGAATAACATCAACGCTACGCTACTGAATGTTAACACTAGACCATAGTCGCATAGACTTAAGTACTCCCCCTCTAAAACTACGATTGAGCTTATATTGCTCCTTACTATTCAAATGAACGCCATCAGCAGCATAAAAATTATGACCAGCCTTCCAAAAACCCCTATGACCCCAATAGATCGCGTAAGGGATGGGTTCTAAGACAACCCGTAGGTAACGTGTTTAAAGATCTACGCTTTTGTTACAGGCAGTAGCAGAGCGCCGACGAATGGTTTGGCATACACACACGAATCTTACCCCGTAAGAATAGTGCAACAAACGACCGAATTCCTCAAGTTCTGACCCAACTTGTAGAGGAGACTGAAATGGTAGATCATTAGTACCAAGTTGCGCGATAACTATGTCGGGACGTGTAGATCGAACTACGTGCAGATTAAATTTGACCGTTTTTGCTACTGTACGCCCACCAATGCCATGCCAAGCTATATCGGCGGAAGCCGTAATTTGTAGGGATAAATCAAGGTAACCGATATGATGTTCCATGAACTTCTGCAGGCGTCGAATAAAAGAGTGTCTCAAGATTAAAACACGAGGTGTTGGGGTAACCGTGCGTGTAGCCATAACTCTCTTAAGGAAGAAGGATTAGAATTAAAAAGAAACTTGCCTGAAAACTTTTAACTAAGCGTCAAAGGGATGTCTGTACTGTCGCAATTTGTAATAATTATCGCACTTTGTAATACCTGTCGCAATTTGTAATAAATCCATCGCACTTTGTAATACCTGTCACAATTTGTAATAAACCGTGTCAAACTTTGTAATAAAAAAGCTGTCGCAATTTGTAATAACAGTCCATCGCGCTTTGTAATAAACTAAGCTGTCGCAATTTGTAATAATTCCATCGCACTTTGTAATAATTTTTTGAGAGTGATTCAACTTACTTCGTCAACATTAATATAATGCCAAAATATGCATGGTACTTCATAAACAAAGATGATGGCGTCTGCTAGCACGTAACATCTCCGTAACATTTTCTTTGGTCAAAAATGCATGTCATCCGCTATAAATTTTTCTGCATTGATTAATCACGTGACTAACTAGAAACGCTTTTATGAAAGACATGAAACTTCCTGTGACATATCACCAAAAAGATATGAATAACGTTTAAATTAAAAAATATTTAAATAAGAAAGGCAACATTCAACAACAGAAAATTCATGAAGAACCTGGCATTCGTCGTCCAAATCCATGTTTGCTTGCCACGTGACACGTGAAGTCTTCGGCGGGGGCGGGGGCGGGGGGGGGATAATCCCATATATGAATGGGCTAGGTAGGTAAGTACCGCCTGATAGGGTATGGTTTTTGAGGATCTCGGGCCTTTAATAGGGTATCATTTTTTACGTTGTTGGCCTTGTGTCTTTGGTTTGATCCTTGGATAGGGTAACTCAAGTAGTAATGGATGGTTTATTCCATCCTTTCCATTTTGTAGAAAAACAGTAATCCAGAACACGCTCGGAAGAATTGCAAGGTCTTACGAGTTGTATATACGCAGGGAAGGATAATTTTTTACCATCCCCATGGTATTTGCTTTAGAGGACTCCTTACAGAAAACAATTGTTTTAAGATGGAATGAGTACTCCTTTTGTTCCTATATGGGACCAAATCAAGTGAGAATAATGGACCAAATGCCCAGCCGGCTCAGTGTAAGATGTACCTGTTTTTATAACACCCACTTGGGGTACGAAGGTATTGGCCAGCGACTAATTGGATTTTGTGTTTAGGTTTCTGTTGTGGTTCGACGGTTTGCCACTGGTGACGTTTATTTTATTTGCAGTAAACATTTTGAATCTTTCCAGGCCTCGTTTGATTAAGTTGGCCAAAGTATGGAAGCCACTATTTCTTTAAGATTGCTCGTTAGACAAGAACGGTGCACCACGTGTTGTGTCAACCTGTTATAAGATCTAACAAGGAAAGCTTGAACTCTCCTGGTGTCGTCATTCGAATGATGTAGGATGGATGTTACGATTAGCGGAAATTAAATGCTTTTTAATAATGGCTTGTTTGTGTCTAATGTGTCTAGCTCTCTCTAGATCCTGTACTCTGGCAATGCTCTGTCCAGAGGCACATCCCCGTATTGGCCATATAGGGAAGTACACCCGCCGGGTAACCATTGAATGCAAGCCACCTAGTACAATAGCAAGGTTCAAGAATACAGCATTTCGTAAGTCAGATAACTAATCAACATTAATCGGAAAAATTGTTTAGGACTGTGAATAAAGTTAAATGTTTGAATGAGCGGAGATGTTACGTGCTAGCAGACGTCATCTCCATCTTTGTTTATGAGTTACCATGCATATTTTGGCATTATATTAATGTTGACGAAGTAAGTTTAATTACTCTCAAAAAGGTATTACAAAGTGCGATGGAATTATTACAAATTGCGACAGCTTAGTTTATTACAAAGTGCGATGGACAGTTGTTACAAATTGCGACAGCTTTTTTATTACAAGGTGGGACACGGTTTATTACAAATTGCGACAGGTATTACAAAGTGCGATGGATTTATTACAAATTGTGACAGGTATTACAAAGTGCGATGATTATTACAAATTGCGACAGTACAGATGTAAGATGTCAGTACAGGCTGATCGTAATAGCCGAAAAGGCCGTGCAAAACATAAAAACACAAGTCTTTTAAACAGCACTAAACATGTTCGATCTCCAGATTGGCCAGGGAACCACCACCTGCACACTGCTGATAAGAAACGGGAAATGCCTCGAAATACAATGACATTATGATTCCATCTTCTCATCATAATGTTTGTTTTATCTTGTGGCCTGAATGTTCGTGTCGACAATAATTTTAAAAACGATTATCAGCTATTTATAGTCTCGGTGCAGTGCGTGGATCGATTGGGATAGGTTTAATAGATCAATTCTTTTTATTATAAGCTGTTGGTTTGACTGTTCTAGAACACTTCTCGTTTTCATGCAACGGGCGTCTGGAAAAGCAGGAAACCGGAATCCAGAATACGAACGGGAATGGGAACAGAAACCGGAACCGGAAACGGAAGAGGAACAGTGATCTAACGGGGAAACATTACTTTAATTTAATTTAATTCTAACTCAATTTATATGAAAAATAAGAAAACTATCCTGTAATCATGCTCCCTCTGAATCTCACCCCCATATATTACGGCAAAGAGAATGTCAAAAAAGCAGCAAGTTTAATAAGTAAAGCAACAGCTTTGCAAGTGCATCGCGCTTTCTGTCTTCTACTTTCCTATCCAAAGCTGAGAATAATTTGTCAAAACATCTGAAAAACCACCAGCTAAATTTGATAAGAACAAATAAAAAACTAAAATTCTACTCCATCTTTAAAAATGAAACAAATCACTCTGAATTCATCAATCATATCCGGAATCCTGAACATAGGCGTGTAGCTTCCAAATTTAGGATAGGAAATCATAATTTAAAAATAGAAACTGGAAGATTTACAATTTCCAAAACTCCTGAAGACCTTAGAATCTGTGATCATTGCAACCAAAATTCGGTTGAAAATGAACTGCACATATTATTTCACTGTGATCAATACAATGACTTCAGAAAGACGCTTTTTATTAAAATCAACGACCGAAATACATTATTTACAAATTAGAATATCCATGATAAAGTCTGTTTTCTTTTTAACAATACTGAT